AAATATCCCCATAAAGGAGCCCTGAGCCAATCTGACTGGTGTCCTTGTGAAGAGATTAGACATACATGGAGACACCAGGGATGTGAACACACAGAGAAATGGCCACGTGCAAGACAAGGAGAGACAGCTCAGAGGAAACCAACCGTGCACACGTCGTAATCTTGCATTTCTGGTCCCAGAACCCAGAGACCTGTTGTTGAAACCAGCCAATCTGCTGTCATCTGTTACAGCACCCCAGCTCATGAACCTGATAGGTGGCCGAGCACGGCTGAGCATGGCTCCAGCGACACCCCCCAGAGCCCCCTCGGGAACTTTGGAGAACAGGCCTCTGAGTCCGAGAGGGAGGAGGGTCTCCCTGTTGGGTGTTTAGGGTCAGCAAACAGTGTCTGCGCCAAGGTCAGGGCCAGTGTCTAACTCATCAGCAGTGGGAAGAACCACGAGTGGGAAGGGAGTCCAGAATGTTCCGCAGGCTTGGCAGTTGCCAGCCAAAGGCCAACGAGGAGAAGGAGATATTCACAGAATGTTCTTAAGCCCCGCCCTGATAATCAGATCTTCTCTTCTCTCATGGCAGACATATCCCTTTCTCATTAAATGGACCTCTCCTTCTCATCTGTGGACTTCTTTTATATTTTAAAAATCACTCCAGTCCGGGAAGCTTTGGTGATCTCTGTCTCTCCCCTCAGAGAGGGCAGGAAGGAGTGGAGGGAGCCAGTGTTACTCAGAAGAAGCACTTGCTGAGAGTTAGCTGTGTTGCTGGCCAGCTGAGGCAGCTCCCAGCAGTCACATGGAACTGCGGAGGTCACCACCTTAGCTGCATCGAGTGATTTCAGAAGGCAGAAAAGCTACCTGTTTTCCTCAGGCGTGGCCTCCCCGACCGTTCACTTTCTGAGTCTCAACCCACCTTTTTTTTCACATAAAAGGACATTCTCCAGCTTCCTTCCCCATTTTTTTCTGACCAAAATTTGACACACAAGCATTCTTCTAAGCACAGTACTGGTAAGATGTATCAGAGAGTCACACTCCCTAGCTTAGATGGATCCTTTCCTAAAATGCTCAGGTTTTAAAATCACCTTCACAGTGCACACACTTCCTTCCCGACTGCAGTGAGATTTGGAAACACCAGGCTCCTCACAGATAGGGACAGAGAGAAAGAATTCCCAGACCTAGACCACAGATGTTCAGGAGGGAAGCATTGGAAAGAAGGTAGCTTCACCAACGCTTAACAGACCACACTTTCATGTAATAATTTGCATAGTGAAAAATGTATGTAGTTAACAACTTACTGCAGTAACAATGACACTCGTATGAACAGAGAATCCAATATAATGGTATACGTCTCTGTCCTTCATACATATTAATATATGTAAATAAAAATAAGACATAGGAGTCACTTTAGGATTTTAGAAAAATATTGCTCAGTGCTTACTATAATAGTGATGTAACATCATAAATCTTAATAGTAGCTTAAATAGTAACAGATCTAAATAGGAACTTACTTAAGGAACTTAATAGTAACTTTAAACTAAATAGTAGCTTAGATAGTAACTAAGTTAAATAGCAATGTAAGTTATAGTATACTTCACTGGTTAAAATAAAACAGTCACTGGATTCTACTCGGATGGCATTCTCTCCATTGGCATGGCATCAGCCAAGGAACAAAAGCAGCACATATTTATGACACGTATGGATGACCTAAACTACCTAAGCATCTGCTGCATGTGTTTAAGTGCTAGGGTAAACACAGTGACCAGATCTCTGACATCCTGGACTTGGCGTCCTGTGTCTTGTAAGCTGCCTGGAAGGCAATAGACATAAGATCGCTCTCCCTTCCTCTCTCTTCCTCCAGATGTCAAAGGTCCACATTACATCAATAAACCGCAAAGAGTGAACAGCACAGTGTCTGTTGCTGAATACATGATTCATTGCCTGTATTATTTCCAAACCCTGTGAAGACTTTGCCTTTGGTCTCTAGGTTTGTCTCTGTTGAGCTCATCTTGTCACATTTGCTCTGAAACACATTGATGTTACTTTGAAATACATTGCATTATGCAAGTATTAAGCTAGCTACAAATTAATTTGCCTGTATGGAATCTTAACATTATTACAGCTTATAACACCATGTATAGCAGCCAAGAGGGTACATTTTTGAGTTTCACTGCTACTGTAAAGTTAGTGGTTTTCTTTCATGGCACAGGGAAGACAGCTGCCCCATCCCAATGCAGCAAGAGAGGCCCTTCTGTTCCAGCAAACCACGCCGGGCTTCAGCCGTAAACCAGGGGCTTTGTTGATGAAATTTTGGCAGACCTGGAGCCACAGACTCCAGGAAGATTTCTAGTTTTCTTTCTCTGATTCAGCATGTGGGATTGCTGTAAACTCTCTGCTGGGTTTAATGCTGTTCCCTTAAATTAAAATGGAGTTTAGTTATAGTTAGTCTTAATGTTTTATATATATGCTCAATTAGTTTCAGAGATGAGAAAGAACTCCCTTAGTTTTGAAATCTACATGTCATATGCATTGCTCGGTTATATTCTCTCTCCTCTGTCTTCACTAGGTGTCTTTTCATAATACAGATTATTCTTGGTTGGACTTGCCATGCAAAATAGATTGCTCAGATCTAAATACCATACGATTTTAAAGAAATCTTGTAATTGGAACTGAAAAATCCATGGAGTAACTCAACATTTTGCCTGTTCTGAGAGTGTTCACTTAGCACATAATAGATTTTTAACTTGAACTTTTGCTTAATACCATACAATTGATTTCTCCGAGTTGTATAACCCTATATACTTATAAAGTTACTTGGGTAGGATTTATAAAACCACCTTTCACAGGAGATTCTATTGCTGTGAAGAGGGACTTGCATTTTTCTGTGGCAAAATTCGCTTATACCAACTTATTAAAGTTTTTAAATTTTCATTAGCATTTATATTTGCCTTTTAGAATTAGCATAGAATCTGCAATCACATTTATAGAACAAATGGCTGTTTCAAAAATTATTTTGTGATTTTCTTAAAATGCAAACATTACATTCATCTTTTTTATGTAATGGACCTTCCAGACGGAAAATATACTATTGTTATTGTTGCTATTTTTGTAAACATTATTGCTAGCTATAGTTCAGATTTTTCAAATGAATTTATAATCTAAGTACTGATGACCAAGAATATTATTAACTTTGAAAAACCAAGTATATTATCATTAAACAACTTTTGAATGAAGAAATAATTGATAATCAGTTACAATTTTTCAATTCATGCCAAATCCCAGTTTTCCCCTTTATACCCTCCCATCCCCCTCCCTCGCTGACTCATCCATCCAACAAACACACACTGTGTATCCGCCGTGTGTCAAGGCACTGTGCTAAACTCCAAGCTTGCAGAGAGGAATGAGATAGGACTTCTGCCCCAAAAACACTTCATTGATTTGAGCAGGGGGAGCAGGAGCAAACACTGAGATATGCAGTATAAGAACCATTGTTGAATTCCTACCATCTTGTATGGTGAAGCTCTGTGTCGTTTCCAATGGTTGTTTTTTTTAATTGTTATTGCCTTTGATTATTCGATCAGTCTTGCATTCTTACATCGGGTGGACTGAGCAACTTCGTTGAAGATAACAGTACGTAATGTAGCAATCAGTGTTAATTCCTATCATTTTGTTTTGAGGTCACGTATCGTTTTTTGTTGTTTCTGTGTTGTTTTTGTTTTTGTCTTATTGTTGTTGTTTTGTTAGAGTTTTTTTTCTCTTTAAAATAAGAAAAAGTTCATGGGAAAGAAAGCAAAAACACAGACCAAAATCACATTTTTTTTTTTTTTGAGTTGGAGAAAATGTACAAAAACTACAAATAGAAGGCAAGGGTACCCATCAGAGGGAGGGCAGCCCATGGATGGAGGACCACAAACAATAAAAGATATGGGAAGAATTGAGCACGGACTAGATCAGGGCTTCTGCTTGTGTGGCAAAAGCCCTAAGAATCCACATAACCCAGGAGCCATGTGCTGCTATCCCCAATGCCCAAGACTTGCAGATGATTTGCTACTGAAATTAAGGTGTCTCTTTACGTAAAATCATGAGGAAATGATCAGAATGATCTGATTCTGAAAATGTAATTCATTGGTCATTCACTGCATTTTGTGTGTTCAACCCATACATAGGATACCGACAGCTGGAAACAGAGGGTGTCATTCCCTTAAGAGCCAAGAAAAGCAAAAAGATTGAAGTTGCTAAAGTGTTACCAACACAGAAGAAACAAAGACAACAGGTTAATGTAGAAGTCTGATCCCCTTGATAAGTCTGTTCCCCAAGCTGAGAAATGCCTATGAGCCTGCCACAGTAATATTATAATTTATTGAGTATCTCCTAGGTACCAGGCACTCTACACAGTGCCTAGAAGTAAGTGGAAAAATGAGGCCAAATCATGGCTTTGTGTAGCTCATGGGCTTTCAGGAAAGACAGATGTATAAGCTAAAACTTTCAACACTGAGTTAAGTACTTTACCATAAAGTGCTGAATATTTAGAGGAGGAAAGCTAATCTTCCTAGGAGAGTCGGAGAAAACATCCCACAGGACACCGATTCTAGAGAAACACAAAAGACGTGTCCATCGAGCTACCTGGCCCTTCACTTGTTCGTTCATCACGCATGTGCTGAGTATCTAGAGCAGACGCTACAGATGCAGCATTGAACAGGTGATGTTCAGGAGTCACACTGAATGGCTCCTGAAGACCATCCAACAGCTACTTTCTCTCCACCACCACCACCACCGTGCACTTTCCTACAGAGACCAAGGTGCCTTAGCTGCTCAACCTGAACTATGGCAACACTGTTAGAACTAATGCTCTTATCATGACACTAAAACGCCAGTGCCGTGTGTCCCATCACAGTGAGACCATTCCAGAAAGCCTTGCTCAGATAAAACCAAGCTCTGAAAATGCAAAGCTGAGAATCAGTTTCAGGAGCAAAAATGAGAATTCAGATACCCACGTGGACACGAGACATCCTTACCTTACTATCCTTTGTGCCAGCACAAGTTCTCTTTTCCAAAAAAGACACGGAAGAACAACAACAGTCTCTTTGCAAATGCTAGGAAAAGCTTCCAGGACCCAACATCTAAACAGGGGCTCTTGCACTTTGCCCTGGAGCTGGTGCCTGCAGACCTGAGGGTTGCTTCCCCAGTGGCCGCTACAAGAATCGCACTATGATTCACAGTGTGCGAGCCACAGGATGGCCGAGACAGCAGGGGCTTTCTGTGGTGGCCACTTCCTGAAAGAATGCTCAATTCCTTCTGTCCAGGGAGGAAGTGAAGAACCTGGGGCCATGCCTCCACTTCCGCATACAGGAGTGCCTCTGCAAAAGGGCGCAGGCGCTGGGTACTCCCTCTTGGCTATGGACCCATGTTATCAGATGTGAAGATCACAAGGGAGAGAGTCTCGGGAGAAAACGGAAATGTCTTCCCCACAAAAATGCGAAGGAAAAATTCAAGCCACTGCAACCAGTGGTTTTAAGTCAACTGACCTTTAAAGACGTCAGATTACCCTGGAGAAATGACTGCAGTTCCATAACTCAGGCAAGAGAAAGGCAGTCAGGAGCTTCTGCAAGGCATAGTTGGAACCATTCTGAAAATTCATCCTGTTTGCCAACATGTCTGCCTAAAATTCATGAGTTGCTAATTACATACAAGTTATACACCAGCATGTTTTCATATTTATAGCTTTCATTTCTCTCTGAAGTTGTTCATCTAACGTATTTGTTGTTAAAAATGTAAAATGTAGATAAGCATAAAAAAGAGAAAATGATTCCCCCGTAATGCCACCACTTGAAGGTGATCACTGTTGGCACTGTGGTGTTTGTCTTTCCAGTCTTTAGGCGGGGGAGGATGAGATGGATATGAAAGCCAGTTCCTCAGCATCCATCCCATTCCATGCCACAGGGGAACACCCAACCCCATCTCCAGCACAAGATCCTGCTCTTGAAACAGTGTTTTTAGGACCCACCTCTCAACCCAAGGCCTAAGCCAATAAATGCTCAGCATTAAAGGCACATGATCAAGATGGTCCAATGAGAGAGAAGCCTTGTGCTCCTCTGGGTCTGGGGAAGGCGATCCTAAATGCTGTTGGCTGCTATCTTGCCATAAGAGGAACCAGCTTTAATTGAAGCAGAATTTTCAAAAGAGAAAAAAAAAAAAAAAGTCACAGTATTAAAGAAATTGGTCTTTAAAAAGATTTCTGAGTTCCTAAATTAAACTAATACCAAAACCTACCTTGCTTCTGGAGTTTGTAGTTTTATAAATCAATCAATTTGTTTAAGCCAGTTTAAATTGAGTTTTCAAATCCTTATAGCTAAATGCATAAATTATATATATATATATATAAATGCAAGGTCCCATTTTTTGCCTACACATACACACATGGGACACATGAGCACAAAGAAAATTACAATTAAAACCATTATCTTTAAATAATTTAGGGATTATAGGTGTTTGGGGGGTTATAAAATTTCCATATTGATTTGTTTAAAATTTTTTAACAAGGAAGATTTTAAAAACTGTAGATAGCCCTGACTCAATAACTCATATTACCTTGGAAGTTCAAGTTCTGTCTTTTTTTTTAATAGTTCTTTTTACTTAGAGTCTACTCTCTATGGGCAGAAGAAAACCATAATTGAAGAAAGGATGCAAACATGAAAGTGGAATTGTCACCGATTCTAATAGGACTGATCAACACTGGAATTATGTTATCAATAGTACTGTGGACCTATATTCAGTGACATTCATATATTCAATTTTAGATAGACTTTTTTTTTTTTTTCCCTTCCAGTACCGAGAATTGAACTCACGACCTTGTGCTTGCCAGGCAGGTGCTGTGCTGCTGAGCTAAATTCCCAGCCCCTTAGATAGACATTTTTAATCATTTTTAACAATGTTACTAGAAAATTATTGCAGGAATATCCACTGAGTTCTGAGGAATAATATGTAGTGTGAATCACAAGATACTGTTTTTCCCATAAAACAATCTTTAAAACACTTCAAATACACATATAACCAAATGTTCTTGTAAGTTTTAAATGTTTATTCACTTGTACCTATCAATGTGCAAACAAATTATATTTTAAGAAACATACTTACATGCATCTCTTTCATGCATATAAAAAGATCTGAAAAGATGTACATCCAATTAATGATAATGATGGTCATTTTCCATCAAGTGTACGGGCTTAGCTTGTGGGGCTGCTAGGGAACTGGTTCACCTCACCCCCACCCTGCTTCCACCACTGGGCCTCACCGATGCTAGGCAAATGCTCTCACACTGAGCTATATCCTCATCCCTTCTTGTATTTTATTTAGAGACAGGGTCTAAGTATCCTGTACTGGCTTTGAACTTGCAATCCTCCTGTCTCAGCCTTCCAAGTAGTTGGATTGCCACTGGACCCAGTGACAAAAAAATGATATATAAATCAGGTTTGTTTTTACTGCTATAACTGAATTCATATATTGAATTTATAATTTGAAAACAATTTTAAAATTTTAAAGAAAAAGTGGGAAAATGAAATAATCTTTGAATGAAGAATCTATATCTTGTCATCGTTTTCAGGGACGTTCCACAACTATCTGATAGGAATAAATGGATTCAGTAAGATGATTTCCATGATAGGTAGCAGAACACCCCGAACAGTCACAGGAAACTTTTCTTGCTTAAAAAGAAGGGAACCTTAGGCTAAGGTGCTGGTTACTTGGTTACACTCAGGGCAGTCATCAGGTCCAAGGTCTTTCTGCCCTTCTGCTGCGCCGTCCTCGGCCCTGGCTGTCTGCCCTCATCCTGGTCTCCTAGCAAGATGTCCGCAACTCCTCCTGGCATCGTGCTTAGATCTTACCCCATCCAGAGAAAGAAGGGACTTCTCTCCCAGCAACTTCCCAAGATCGGAACGCCTGTCCCAGAACTCCCCACACACATGCTCCCTTTAGCCTCGCTGGCCAGAATCATCATGAGCCCTTTCCACAGCCAACATAGCAAGAAAGGAAATACCACCTCTACCCTGTTCTAATCATCAACCACCAGCCAGAAACAGAGAGGAATGGGTAAACCATCAGCCTTCCTAGAAACTACCTGCACAGGGATATGTTCATAAATTAGAAAACTCAGCATCAAAATCTCAATTCTCCCCAAATAGATTTACACATTCAATGTAAGTGCAGTCAAAACCCTAGGAAGTTGTTTTGTTTTGTTTTGTTTTGTTTTTTTAATAGAAACAAGCCGATACCAAAATTTCTTTGGAAAAGCAAAAAACCTAGAATAGTCAACTTTGGAAAAGAAGAACAAAATTCGACGAATAACACTGTAGGATTTAAGGTTTATTCTGAGAGCTACAGTAGGTAAGAGACCATGGTTTTGGTGTGAGGGTAGACCTACAGGTCAATGGAACAAAATAAATACCAGCAAAATACTCAGGCACATATGGTCAACTGATTACAAAGGGGCCAAGGTAAATGACAGCAAATGGAGAATCTTTCCAACAAACAGTGCCGAAACTATATATGCTACATGAAAGTATATAGAGAGATAGACAAACAGAAGGAACCTTGACCTGTATATTTAGTCATATACAAAAATTCAGCTTAAATGGATCATAGATCTAAATATAAAACCAACAGCCACACAACTTCTAGAAGAAAATCAGAAAAAAATCTTTGCAACCTTGGGCAAATGTATTTATATAAGATATAAAAAGCTCAAACCATAATAGATAGTGTGTAATTTTTAAATTTATAGAATTTAAAAATTATACATAGCCTTTATAGAATTTAAAATATTATATAGA